TGGAATAAGAGAATAAAACAACAGGAAAACTCCAGTAAATCATCATAGCCCTTAACAAACACAGTGCTTCAGGAAGATAAGTACCCTGAAAAAAATTTTCATTCTTGCTTGACACTTCTCTATTTACTTTATTCTTTTTATGGAATGGTCACCATTTAATGAGCAATTATGTGCAATATTTACTTGAACAGTAAAGTGATCTCAGTGACTTTAATGCAAGCATTATTCTAAGGGCTGCTCTATAAAACAAAGGGAAAGTACTTCACCTCAGGATAATGTTACAGGCAGAACTTTAGTCAGCAGAGCTAAATTTAAAAACAGTGCTCTTAGGAGATCTAACAACTTGCAAATTTATGATCAGATCTGGCAGCTCTTTTTCAGACCTTTTCATTGCACAGAATTCAAATGGTGTGACAATACCATACATTTTAACAGAGGTTGTAAAAATTAACTATAAAATAAAGCACAGAATATATCCGTTCTATGTTCAGTAGTTCCACCTCAGCATCATCAGGGTAAGACAGATGAGTAGATTCATACCCTTTAGACATCTCCTTACTATTCTAAATATAAAACTTTATCCCCTTTATTTCTTCCCCCATTATTTTTCTTATACTTTATTGTCAATACAATTTTTACTACTCCAGTACAAAAACTGGATTTGAAACAACTATGCTTTTATAATATGCAATAAATGTGCCGATATTTTACCTGTTACTTTATTGAAAAAATAGTACATTTCTAATAATAAAAAGGAAATATTAGGCTTCTCAGGAGCTGGGACATGTTTTCCTCTTATCTGATTATAGTCTGCAGTAAAATTAAAGCACCTTTATTGTCCCTGATCTAAACAAAGGGATCCCAAGTACATCAATAGTTACTCTGCATGAGTTGTGCATGAGAGAGCTCCCGCTGCTACATCTACCTTCACCACACAGCTTGGGGAACCAGTTTGACCAAGCAACATGGACAGAGCTATGCCAGTACTAATGATGGACTTGACAATACAAAAGATATTCCACTATTTTGGCTAATGATTTAAGCCTGAGTCAGAACAGATGGGCCATAGAAAGTAAAATCTGAGATAAGTTGCTTGAATATCCCTGACAATCTGAGTCAGACCCTACCAGAAGTTAGAGAAGCTCCTGAGCAGGAGTTGGTACCTATGACTGATGTTAGATCTTGGGCCAAGAAGACTACCAGAAAGGTTTAATGTGCCATGTACCTTCCTTTCTTTGCTTTGCTTTTTGATGTTAAACTTGGTGCAGTTATCATACCATAAGGACACAGGCAAGGCAGGTTTGTTTCTTCACCAGAAAAAAAGGTATGTTTGGAAAAAGAAACTCCTTTTCAGACAAAACACCTTTTTTTTTTTGGAAGACCTTCATCAGCACTAAGTGGTTGTGCATTCAAAAGTATACCTACTGTTTCTAATTATGCTAGGTGGTCTTATAAATGGTGTTGTCGATAAAGCTTGCCTTTTCTTACTAAGGTATTCGGAATACGGCTGGTACCAAAAGCCTGAGAGCTTCCCAGCAGCAGAAAGTTCTGCCTTATGCCACCAATCATCTCAAGTCTTGAAGCCCATTTTTTTCTTAACAGAATATACAAAGTTTATACACATGGTTGAGTATATGTTTCAAGATGTGTATGGGTATATACAAGCACCTTTTGAAACGGTAGCACTTCATTGAGGGAAAGGATTGGAAAGAAGGATAAAGAGAGATAACACAAACAAAAATGTGCCTGTGAAATCTTCGAAGTTGGGGCTGAAACAAATGTTTTAGTTAATGCTCGTTCTCAATTCTACATTGCATCAAACAAAATCGTTTTGGGTCCAGGTAAAAGTTAGTTAAGTATTTATTAGTTTAGTGAAAAAATTTCTCCTCAAAAAATCAACAGACAAGAACGAATTGCAAAGGCATTTGGAGAAAAAAAGATTTACTTAGGGAAAGTGATTTGAAAAGTGTAATAAGAAAGGAAAGATTCAAGCTTCCCTTCCATTCCTTTTTAAACACTATCTCTTTTTTTTCTGAGTGGAAAAAGACCATTAGTGATTTTGTTATTTAATGGGACTGGAGAAAAATTAGGCAAGTGAGATATCTCTTAGCTCTCCTATCATCACTGATCTCAGCTGGCCTCCTTCCATCCTACACCCTGCTAGAGGAGCTGAGGGTCACCTCATTGTGAGAAATCTTGACATGTACATCAGACCCACACATTTAAAATCAGCTGCAAAAACATATTTGACTATTTTGTTGCTGATGTATTTGTTTACCAGTCGGAAATGGCAGCTCCTCAGTAAATCATATTGTATGTCGATAGAGGAAAAAAAATTAAAATACTGGATTAAAGCAGGTTATAATTTATACCTCTCAGACTGTGTAGATCTAGTAGACCATTTTTTTTCCATATGTAATTGCCTGTTATATGGTTCCTCCAAGGCTGTAATTAGACCAATCTGTTTTCTTCATTCTATGGCTTTTACTTTATGACTTGGGCATGCTGATTGGTTAATACATTTTAATTTTTTTCTCTTTGACTGTACTCTGAAGGAAAGACATAAATAATTGCTTATCAAGAAACTAGTGTCTCCCTGACTCTCTTTAACAGCAAGGTTAGTAGCTGAGGACCCATCTTCTCACCTTTGATGTCAATCTCTTCCTAATTTATATGTGTAAAGTTTGTATTAGTCATAGAAATCAGAAAATTCAACATATTAAGTTTACACAAAGTCCTAAAGATTTATAAAAAAAAAGACATGTTTACAGGTTAAATTTTACTTTGCATTTACTTGTTTTGGGCATAATTTCTAATTATTACAAGCCAATTATATTAAAAATTTGCATGAATATCTGTTTTTAGTCTTAAATATGTATGTTTCTCTTTGGACTTTATTTTTTTTTAATAGACTGTTCATTTTTCTACATACCACATATAGTATGCTATGTTCTAAAATGGTATGGTGGAATGTGGAGAATTTTGTTTTGGGGAAATAATAAATTCCTTTGGCTCTGTACAAAAGGCTTTATTCATCCCTCAGGTGCATGATCATTATCTGGGTCTATCTTGGCTTTTCCCTTAATTTAAACAAGAGTCACCTACTGTAAATCACCTTTTCATCTTACAGACACATGTGCAACTTGTAGATGTGCAGCCTCCTATTAAAAAATGTAAAGATATTTCAGTTTCTAAACAAAGGTATGAAGAGTTAATTAATTAATTCATGAATAAAAATTAACACCGATTCCAATATCAAACATTTTTTCTTTGCTGTCAGGGTGAAATTCAGTCTAACCTGAGAGGAAAATATGAATCTTTTTGCAATTTGTAGTTAAGTTGTTGAAGCTGCTATGCCAGAACATCATGTATGTCAAAGCAACTTACTGGAGCATCACGCATTCTTAAGGGACACGTAGCGTGCATTCTCACCTGCTAAATACAGATAATTATATAAAGTTTCTCAAAAAATACCTATTTTGTACTGGTTGGAAGCTCATATCCCTGCCACATAAGCTCATGGAATGGTGCCTCTGACCAGGAACCACACTTATGGAAAAAAATAATGAGTAAACCTCTTACAAAGGGCTTCTTCATGCACAATGTTTACTAAAAATCATAATACACAGGTAATTGATATTCAAACATGCAAACGGGCTGCTATGTTTCTTTCCTCTCTAGCGCAACCACTGCATTAACCTGAAAAGCTGTGTTAAAACTCAATACGCCTTGCAGCCACAGGCATGTTCCGTTTCTAATGCTCTTATGCATTAGCACCTGTGTGAGTGTCTTTGGGTAGGCCCTTGCACTGCTCTCTGCATTCTCACCTTCCACAGCACGCCACTATGGACAGTCACTCTAGCTCTCCAGCTATCTTTTTGGCCTTGGTATGCAGGGGAGCCCGTGCAGCATACAGTTAAAATGAAACTAAAAAATATGTGTCTCTTCCCTGCTCCTCCTGAGTTAAACACCAGCTTTGTTCTACTGACCTGTAACAAAAGGCAGAGGTCAGAAGGACAAAATCCTCTGAGCTGGAGTCCGTTTGCGCAGTGTATTAAATGCCATTAGGTCTCATTGACTTCTCCAGACTTTTCCCAAATCATTTGTCATTTGCAGCAGAGATCCATATTTAATAAGTATTTAAGTGTTATTACAGTATTTCTTGAGATACACTGGAGAAAAGTATATATACTGAAGAAAATTATACACATCAATGCATTAGAAAACCATTTTGTGTTGTCTCATGGAAAGCAATTTATATATAGTGATGTTAAAGGGCACATTACTGTACAGAGCATTACTACATTACCCAACCTTGCTTAACATCCCAGGCTCAGAATCAGTTTGGCCACAATATCCTATAAGAGCTAGTGACTTTGGAGTGTTACATATGAGACACCTCAGACAGACCTGTCTTTCAGAAAGTATTAAATCTCTGCCATGAGCACACAGTTTGGAGGACTGAAATGGACATCTAAACATCAAGACCCGACAGAGTAGTCTTTTAGAGAACTTTGGCCTTCATGAACACTGATGTAATTCAGGATTAATGCCATCGAGCTTGAAAGATTACAATAACAAAAGAGCAATATGAGATTGGATTTAGGCCTCCAAAGTCTAAAATCTCCAATATATATTTAAAGAGAAATAACTTACTCCAACATTTGGAAAATGGGGCCTATTGAAAAGCATGAAACCTCTAAAATGTTATTTGAATGCCAGAAAAGTAATACTTTAAAAAGCCCAGACAAGAATGCCAAGAGGAACAGAAAAGAGTGAGCCAAAAACGCTAACATGTTCATTTCCACCCTGTCTGCGAGCGGGGCGAGACCCGCAGCTCCACAGGCATCTCTGAGTATTAACGGATGGACAGTCCCTGCCCTCAGTGACATGGGTGTCATCTCACAAAATAGAAATATGGACGTAAGACGGACTTAAAATAAGGTTCCTAACTAGAAAAAATACCAGCTCAGAAACATGCACCTTATGGCGATACCTACATTTAGCTGTGACTTTGTACCCGCCCAGCGGAGGGTCATGGCCTTCCACGGCATCAAATCCTGCTGACACCAGGACAATCTCTGGATCAAACTCATTGGCAGCTGGCATAATCACAGTCCTGTAGAGTGAAAAAAAAGCCCAACCTGTTAAAAATTTACAGAATTTCTGTCTTCATGATATAAATTGCCACAAACTCAAAAATCCACAGCACGATATTTTCTTTTAATTAAACCAATCTTCATGGTAGCTGTCCAAAACCAAACAAAGTCCAAGACTTCAATTAATTTCTTTCTATAGTCAGTCTTTTTTCTTTTCTACTATTGAGGAAAAAAAAAATGCAGGTACATGTGAAAGCCTCTAATATTACACACACATCTGTGCCTGTTTTATCCTGCTGCCTATAAAGAGCTGCCTCTTCCAGGGAAGTGACTAATGGTTTACAGAGAGCACTCAAAGCCTGAGTGGAAACCCGGACTGCTCCAGTTAGTGCGAACTTGGTGTAAATTTGAACTATAAATTTCTTTTGGGAAAATGTTTGCTTTCCAAACTTTTTTTTTTCTTCTTCTTAACATTTTTAAATGTTTGTCGAGGTGGGGGGTGACTCTAGCAAAGGAAAAACATGAAATTCCCTTAATCAAATCCAGACTACGTTGTCAAGCCTTTCCAAGGTCAAGCATAACAGGAATGTGACAACCACAAACTAGTGACAGCAACCCCTGCTGGTGTCAGGAAGATAATTCAGCCTTTCACAGTCACAAAGATTCCACTTTTTTAACCCTTTCCTTGACAAACTTCCATGGGGATATTTTGTTGCTTTGTTTTTGCTCTTCTCCAAACTCAAAGCATTAAAGATATGTTGAAGGAGAAGATAAAGCCCTGAATTCTGCACTAGCAGATGCCTTATTTCAGGCTGACTTTCCGAAGGCAAGGTGTCAAGATGGCTTTTACACTACTGTGACAAATGCTGAACATGTAATGAATGTGCTAAATCAGGGGGACATAATTAACATTAAAAGGCAAATACACAAATGAATATTCTATTCCAAATATATTAACTCAAGGAAAACACAATTGGTCTACACTGGTCAAAATCTGAGGATCAATTTTGTGCTTGTGTAATACTATTTTTCTTAGTTCAGTATTTATTTATTTATTATTTAATCAACTTAGGCCAAATAGATCATGTTTTTGTTGAAAGAGTAAAGTTTTCTGGGGAAAAAAAAGAATATTAATAATATTTTAACATCTCTCTAGGTTTTTCTTTAGTTTAGTTTTTGATCTGTGTTTTACAGACTTTATTTTGTTCTGATTTCCTCAAAGGTAATTTAAATATTAGGAAAGTGTTCTTTTTACTTGTTAGTCAGAGAAAAGAAGAATCAAGACTAAGTACAAAGTCTTTGTCAGGACACACAGCATTTCAATGAATACCATTTTACATCAGAAAGAAAGGATAAAGGCAACTGCATTTTTCTGGTGATTTTGCTGAAATTGCATCACAAATTTCTGCAGGAAAAGTGATATAATTTGTGAAAAATTCCTTTTTTTATATATCATTAGTAGGCCTCTGCTGAAGTATGGATTCCAGTACTGAGCATTGCACTTCAATAAGGACTTAAACCAACTTGAGAGAACAAAAGGAAAGAAAACAATTCAAAAGATGTGACCTAAGTGGATAAAAATATATAATTATAATTATTTGATTCACATAACATGAGAATAAACATGATAAAAGTCCACAAATATGTAAGTGGCTGTTGCAAGAGGAAAGAAATAACCTGTTCTGCATATCCACTGTGGATAGGACATGAAGTTGCAGCAGAAAAGCTGTAGTTCATGCACTGGAAAAACCTTTTTAATAGTAAAGATAGATAGTCATTTAAATAAAATGTTCAAGAAAATTGAAGATGTTCCATCTCTTTTTATAATAGGTAAAACAAATATCCATTAAACTTGCTACAGGTTCAAGCTGACATGTCCTTGAGGTAGGAGGTCAGATTACTTTCTTCTAGGTCTTTTTCCTATAGTTCCATGATGTATAACTATATAACACACAAAGTACACATATGAATAATTACATTAGACACTACAGTGACTGATCATTTTTGCAGGCTAATCTCCACAAAGTTAGGGAACAATATCAGGAATAAAGATCGCTGATGCAACCATATCTTATCTTTATTATGTACATACCTTCTGATATTCTAATTATAGGTTCATTGTCTGAAGCAACACATACTTCCCAAACTTCCCCACGTCTGCAAGACATGTGGCACAGATCCTGATTAGCGATGAGGACTGTGGCTGATATGCAATCTTGATCTGTCCCCATAGCACCATGTATCTTATACATTGAAAGAAGGAGGGATCCTATGGAGAACCCTCCCTATCTGCAGCCACTTGAGCTCTTTCCCCCCTCCTCTCCATTCACATTTCCTCAAATTCAAATCAGGCTCTGTTTTTTATTTCTTCATGTCAAATAAAATGGCAGCACCACAGAGTACAGCATAGACAGTGCTCAGGAGTCAGAGGATGGAGTGTGTTCAGTGCAGACACAAGCTCTGGAAACTCCAGTTGCAGAGCACTAACAAACCTAACCAGGCTAACACAGAATGAGATTTTTTGAGACTCTCATAATTTGGAACATTGGGAAAATCTTCCACACTTGTACCACATTTCAAGACCTTGCTCAAAAGCATAAAGATGTCAGCACATTTTTTTATAACTTGGGCAAAACAATGCATTTGACCCTTAATCTCACTCTTAGAAGCAGCAAAAATTGTTTAGCCACAGTTTCTTTAGGATTTTTGTCAAATGAATGTTTGACATGAAAACTGCCAGCTACACTGGGTAACATTAGGAAAATTATTAAATACTGAAAGCAAGGTCTTTCCACACAAAGCACCAGGAATAGCTATTAACACCATCTTTAATAGTGCTGAACAGGAAATAGTAGCATATTCATAAATCTCTACAGAAATGGTATATAGGAATCTCAGCTAAAGGAAGGAGAAAGCTATAATGATAATAACTGGAGGTAGCATTTAGAATTCACTGTTCTGTTATTGCTTTCAGTATTACCTGAATTCACGAGTAAAATATGACCTAATAGGGTTTTTCTGAAAGAAAGAAATTTTTCTTTTAAAAGTGTACAGTGTCTGTTAAATTTCACTAGAAGAATAGCACCCTACTTTTGCTATAATACTGTCTCAAATTATGACAGAACTTTGCTGCTGCTACACTGCATACTATGTGCCAAAAGAGCCAACCTGTGTGCCCACAAGACCTGTTTCATCATCCATTTCTCTTTCATTCTCTATAATACAGAGGGACTTGGAATGTCAGAGCTCACCCATCATACACTGTTCCTGATTTAATACTGAACAGAAACTCTAAGGACTTTTCTTTAAAAAAGACATTATGGAAAATGTAATCTGTTTACTAGGACAGCAAGCTTGACTCTTGTCTAAAACATCACAGGGTGCCTGTGGTCCTTGTTACAGCAGCCAAGACTACTATTTGGTCTTTCAAAAAGATGACAGTCACAAGTCTCTCAATTGCAGAGAGGACCATATAGACATCTAGCTCCTAAATCTCTAACCCAGTCTTCCTCTACATTAGCCAAGAGACATTTAAGGTTGCTCCTCTTTTCAATAACTACTATGAGAACTCTGCTCATAGAAGAGCTACTTAATACCTGGAAAACATCATAGCACTTTTTTTTGGACTTTGTGTAGATAGGAGCTCTCTGACCTTTGTCTTGCCTTGGCAGGAACTCCTTTGTGGCACAAAACACACACGTAGATTTCTTCACAAAAGTGACAGATACTTTCATATCTTATGAAGTTCTATAAAGAATCATATACATAGGTTTTTAAATATGGACTAAATTTCACCAGGACATAAATAAAACCTTTTGGCATTTGCCACCTTTCAGGCTTCAGCACCTTCATTATCCCTGAATAACTGTCTTTAGAAAAATGTTTTGAAGTTGGCAGCTATAAAGAAAGCCTACACAAAGCACTAGATTCCATTCCTTTTTTTTTTATTTCAGCAACACGAAGCTCACTTCTCCCTCAAAAAGAGGTTTCTCCTACCTCAGGAGAATGAGGATGGTTGGAAAGGCAGGGACAGCTCCTGACCCTTCACTGTCTCTTGGGAGTAGAGAATCATCAGATCCTGTATCTTGCTCCTTTCCCATCTCATCTACACAGCAAGGTGTAAGAAAGATAAATCATCCATCAATCACCTCCTCAGGAGCTCCGTAATCATAGCACTTCCTTCTCAATTGCCTTAGAATACTCTAAGTCAGATCATAACAGAAAATAGGCTTTTTTTTTTTTTTTTAAGCATGCAACTAGCATTGAGCATACACTAATATTCATGTTAACCTTCCCAAATTCCTCAGACCAACTGTATGCTCAGAAGTGAGGCTGCAGATGGCAGGATTTGTTATGGTGCGAAGGGTCAAAACTCTGCTCACCAGAAATGCTTTGCAAAGGTGCATAGGCAGCCTGCACTTGGACCTAGGTAGGAACAGTTATTATCTTACCCGCAGCAGGAGTAAGAAATAGGATTTAGCTTCTGCCCATAGGTCACCAGACAGGTACAGACTGGGGACTGGCAGGTCATCAGCTTCATGCTTGAAGCCAGTTGTGCTGCAGGGGTTATCAGCAAAGAGAACTTAATGCTAGGATCCTTCTCCAATGAAATGAGTAGTTTTTGTCAGATGCGAAGTGAATTTTATTCTTCCACTATGACTCACACTCTCCTCTACTCCCTTCTCCAAAGAAAATAGAACACATAAAAGAGATATTTATTTTCTGTGATCCTGAATCATATAGAAGCATAAATATTTGGTATACCGTATTCACTTAATGATGACAGCAGAGTTACAGGGGCATCTTGCCTGGCTGACTGTTTCTTTCTTTTCTCTCACATTTTTCATTAATAAATATGTCAAAGCCTGAAAGCTTGAGCAGCTGGATCACAGGAGTTATTTATCTATGCTAAACCTTGCAGTTACAATGAAACTGTGTCCTCCAGCCCAAGGTAGTGCAGATCCTCCTTTAAGTCTGAGGGTACTGGGAACAGAGAATGTGTCTGGGAAGCTGAAAAGAT